CCCTCCCCCGTCCCATGGTGGGGGAGTGAGTGAGCGGCTGTGTGGTGCTTAGTTGCTGGCTGGGGTTAAACCACAACAGCCTGGTGTCATAAGAGACTAAGCCACAGCTAGATGTTGCAGCTCCAAATCAGCAAGCCAAGACAAGGGACGCACCACCTGGTTGATAACTATATCATCCATGCTGCACAGGGTACAGACATACTCACTTGGTACAGCCATAAATGACAACTGTGGCCAGGAGGAACAAGATGACAGTTGGTGTGGGTTTGTCCTGAAACCCCGCAGACCATACAAAGGAGGCCCAAGTCATCACTTTCTTTTCAATGAGACAGGGTAAGTGAACTCTTAAAGGAGCAAGCGCAGTTTCCTGTGCTCTCTTCACTTTGATGTTATACAAGACAGAAGCAGAAGCAGACTGAATTAATTTAGAATTGACTGGGTCTGGTACGGACTAAGACAGAAGGACACCCACAAACATCCTACACTATGTAAAGGGGAAAATAAAACCTGCCACCTCTTCTAGGGCCTTCAGGTGTGCAAGACTGAAACACTGGAACTGGTTGCCTAGAGAGGCTGCGTGATCTCCATCCTTGGAGATAATCAAAAGCTGTGTGGACATGGTCCTGGGCAACCAGCTCTAGGTGACTCTGCTTGAGCAGGGGGGTTGGACCAGCTGACCTCCAGAGGTCCTTTCCAGTCTCAACCATTCTATAATGCTCAGCGGGGACTGGACACTGATAACTGGGTACTTACAAAAGCCGGCGTTTTTGAGCTTGTTTCATCAGACAGAAGTCTGCTGGTTCTGCCTTTGCTTTTACATGGCTGTGGAGAGAAGAAACAAAAGAAGTGATTGAGTGTTACAGAGAAGCGGTAATTTAGCAATTGCTGTGGAGATGGAAAGAGTCCAGGGATTCTGTATCTGCCTTCCCAGAAAATATAGGTAATTGTCCTGTATGGAAATTGTCCTGAAAGGCAATTATTTCCATAGCCAGACAGTAATGGAGATGCAAACTCCTTTCGCCACACACTGACAACAGGTCAGGAGTCAGGACTGAATAGGCAGAAGGTAAACGCACTGAAGAAAAATTGGATCACTTAATTCTAGAACTCGTCATGAGCTGTCCATGCCCAGATCACTTTCTGCTTATCCCTAACCTCCAGGTCAAACTGATACTGTTGCTTAGAGAAAAGATCCCATCGAACTTCCCATCACCACCAGGCACACATTGCCTCTGCACATCTCATGTTCCTTGATAACAGCTGCTGAGCTCCAGCATCAGCAGACATCAGTTATAGACAGTGCCACGGTTACTCAGCAAGAAGAGGAAACTGCCAGCCCTGCTTTGAATCCTGCAGTGGGACCACTGGGATATAAGGTGTCATTTATATTTTAAGATAAAGAATGGCAATAATCCTTTCTCCCTGTGAATGCATATCCTTGCCACAGGCTTGCCAGTTTAAGTCAGCTGCAAACAGATTAGCTAAAGAGAAAGCACAACAACAGAGATTCAGCTTTTGCCTCCAAATATAGGTTTTGAGAACCCATGAAGCTGCAAGAAGACAGACCTACGGGAACGCAGCATGGTGCACTATGTGCAGCTGAGGCACAGCGGCAAGCATAGATCTGCACTCTCTGCACCCACTTCTTATTCCTGGGCAAAGTCCAAGGAGACCAGAGGTGTAATCCCATCCTGCACAGGATGCTGGAAGCACGTGGTGCCCAATGCCAAGCAGCGGCAGAGATTTACCACAAAGCCAAGCACTGAGCCCAAGCAAGGGACATGCAGGAAGGGCAGCGACTGCTTTTGGGACTTGAAGTGCACAAGGGGAGTTGCTGGTAGAACTGGACATTAAGGAAGGGAGAAGAAACTTCCATTCTTCAAGATTACACAGATTACAATCTTCCCTTACTGGTCGGTGCTGGGGGCCAGGGCCTCCCCCACCTGATTTGCCCCAGAGCCCTTCAGCTTTCTCAAGGTTAGGAAACATGACTGTTCCTCACGTTCTCTTCAAGATAGCAGGATCTGGTCTTTTGTTGGCAGTGTTACAGCGACCTGCTCTTCCTATTTCCCTCTCTGACCTGCTACCCTCCATCCTTTTTTTCTGCATTTTTTTCCCCATTCCTCCTTTCCCCCTCCTCCCTTGCCCCATGTTCCTTCACCCCACTCACTTTCATCATCCCTTTCTACTCAATCAGCTCCTGCTCCTTTTCCTCATCTCTCCCTCTCTCCATCCTGGCCCATTTTAGTCTTCCTTAAGGGGGATCTTGGTGAACCCAAGCTGCTCTCACCACTGTCCCAATCCCAATACACCCTCAGCCCAGCACAGTGCGCCCCAGCATCAAAGCTCCCTGCCAACCCAGACAAACCCAAACAACGTGGATGTATGTCAGCCAGCCTTCACAGCACAGAGCGTGTGCAGGAAAGGGCAGCCAGGCAGATCAATGCCTGTGCACTGCTCCTGTACCCTTCAGTCCCTCTCGAGGTCACCCCGGCACTGCCAGCGTAACACAAAAGGCCTGAGAGCTCATGAGGAACGGCAATCAGCAAGAGCAGAAAAACAGCTACAGGGGCTCAAGCAGCTCCAGTCACACTGCTGCATCCACTGGTACTGCAAGACACAGAAAGAGCAGGAAGCATCTCTGCTCTCTTTATGTCCATTAACTGCTTGGCACAGGAACAATTTCTTGTCCCAGTTTGCCTGGATCACTCACAGAAGCACAGAGAAACTCCTTCTCAAGTTGGATGGCAACCCACAGTCACCAGAGCAGGGACTTGCCAAGTGTGCCACCAAGTCGCCATGGCAGTCCCTTCAAAGATGAGTAGCTCTGCAGAGGGTGACAATACTTAAAGGAAAGCCTTTCTAGAGTACATCCCGGACCATATGAGACCATGTGCCCCAGAGGCTGTGCCTGAAGGGCTGTGCCTGAAGGGCTTGGTGCTTCTGAAGGCTTTTCTGTTCCACTCAACAGCTCTGCCCCACTGGTCTGGCAGGTTTGAAAGGCTGCTGCCTGAATTTCCTCCACCAGTACTCTGCCTGCTCACTTGGACTGTGTTAGGAGCCTGTTTCATTACACTTCATTGCCTTCATTCATTATAAAACAGAATAAAAACCTCACTGTAATGCTCTCTTACCCAGCAGGAGATCAAATTCCTGGAGAATCTAATCTTTTATTAATAATCCTGACAAATCACCAGAGTATTACCCTTCATTTATGTAATGATTCAAATCCTATAAAAGCCTCCTCTGATTATTTCAAACACTTATGCACACACATCCTCATGCAGTCCAGGAAGCCACAAGCCAGCAAGGGGAAGAAGAGCACTGTAGCTCCTCCATGCCAGTACCAAGGAGGACTGCTTTTTGGTTGGCACGTCACAGGCAATCTGGGTGACATCAGTCAATGCCAAGCTCCCACCTCTGCTGTGCCGACTGCAGATGGTGCTGGCCAATCCTGAAATTCTCATCCAGGGCTGGGCTTCTCTATCCTGCTGTACCACAGGCCCACTGGGCTTTCTAGACACCAGAGCCTTGCAGCTGAAGTGAAAACAGAGCCAGAGGATGAGCTCAGGCTTCCAAAAGGAGAGAAGGGCTGCCACACTCCTACAGGACGTCTGGGTTTGGAGAAAGGGAGCTGACAGTGCTTCTCTGAGGATGTCAGGCTGGAGATACATGCAAGACCACCAAACACTTCCACATGTGCTACACATCCTCTGCCATGAAGTGTACTACAGAAGAGAAGAGCGATTGCAGTATCTGGAAGGACCATTTTGGCCAGTGTTCTGCCTTGAAGCAGCCTGCAGCAGATGGCCAGGGAGGGATAAGTCTAAGGCAAGCATATAGCCACATCCCCTCCAGTATTTGCAGCTCAGAAACCTTGTGCCAACTGCAGCTTATATACATGCAGTAACCCTCCATGGAGCTCTCCTCATTGCATTTGTCAGGTCTCACCTGAACCCAGAGGCTTCCCTCAGCCACGACGTCCTGGAGCAAGGAACTGTGCAGAGCAGTGAGCCTCCTGCTTGCACCGAACCAGCTACTTGCTAGCTATGTTTGATGTCTTTTATTTCTCATACTGGAAAAGAAGATGAACTACTTCCTAACCACATCACACTTGATTTTATAGACTATTACATTCCCAAGACTCTTTGCCTCTATATCCTGTACAGGCTGAGGACTCCCCAGCTCACTTAGTCACCCCTTGTGCAGAAGCTGTGCCAGATCTCCTCCACTGTCATCCTTGTCAGTTGTCTCTGAGCCTTTTCCAGTTCTTCTCTATCTTTTGAGCTGGTCCAGAATTGCAGGCTGCAGCAACACCGTGCATTTGTACTAGATTATGCAGCCACCTGGGAAAGCAATCCCCAAAGGAAGCACCCTATCTGTCCTCCCTCCCCTGTATGTAATTTCTGCAAGCCACTCTCCTGGATAGCAGGGGCTCAGCCACTGAGGGGGCTGGGGGAAAATGATGAGGGGGAATGACTCCTGAACACAATCTGGAGCCAGATGCCACGTGTGGTCGTGGCACATCATCACAGAAATAGGGCAAAGCCACCTATTCAGGCTCAGGCTAAGCCCTGGCCCAGAACTCCATCCAACCAACCCTCAGTGCTCTGCAAGACTTGAAACTCTGTATGTACTTTTGCTGTTCATTCCCACTGAAAGAGAGGGTACACTGACTGAACGGCTGCACGAAGGAAAAAAAACGCTATTCAAAGAATTAGAAGCCAAGTTAAGGAAGGAAATATTTTTCCATGCTTAGGTGGAAGGTTCATAGCTGCTGTTTGTCTGAGGAGTGGCTTTCCAGAAGCACAGGGAGCTGCCAACTCAGCTCTGTAGGTGGGTGTCCCACCTGGGTCAGAGTTTATTTCTGGGGCATCCAGCAAGTAACAAGAGGGTTCATGGTATCTCCAATCTTGATCTGCAACCAAAGAAGAGGGTGCTTTGCCAGACAGCCGCCTTCTTGGCTGTTCTCTAATGCAAATGCTTTCTTATTGTGGTCAAAACAAGTTTCTAGTTCCAACCCCTACTGAGCAACTGGAGAGGAGGGACAAGTGTTTGTGCAGTACGCTGAGCACTTTTATTCTGCACTAGGGGATGCAAAAGCAGCTGCAACATTGACCGGATGGTCAGGCAGAGCACTACATTAAAAAAGAGAAAACATAAGGGCAACCAGAACCCACCCTATGGCTGGCTTGGACAGTTGACATGTGGGTGTCAGAGGATCAGAAATAGCCCTTCTCTTTCAGTACAATGAAGGGAATGGAAACACCATCTTTCTGTTCTTGTCCAAAGTCACAGTGAAAGCCAATGGGGTGAACAAAGAGTCTGGCCAGAGCGTCAAGCTCTGCTCAAAGGGCTTGAACTGCCTCAGGAGAAAGCCTGGAAGCCTGGAAGGACAGAACAGCAGGCTGCAACATTTCAAGTTCAGATTCTCAGGTGAGTTCAGCAGCATTACACTCTGGAGTGTGTCACTCCTGCAGCTGCCAGGACATCTGGTTGCTCCCAGCCTGTCTCATTCCAAGCCTCATCTGAGCAATACAGTTCCCCTCTCAGCTGTGGATTCAGAAGATACATTTAAGCTTTTTTCTTGTGGCAAGTGAAGCATGGAAAGGGGCAAAATGGAATTGAGAATGAGGCCCTGTTCTCTTGACCATTGGCACCAAGCCTGCATTGCCTATAGGTACAAGCTGAGCTGAAGGGCACTTCATCCTGCACAAAGAAGGGAAATACACAGCCCATCCCTAAATGGCACATACCTCTTGGGTGGCTTCCTGTCCCTGCAACTTGTGGTCAGGTCGGACAGCTCAGGTAGGGCTTCCATCAACGGCTGCATGTCTCCCACCACAGGTGTTGCTTTCCGCTTTGCTTCGGCATTTTGCTTCTGCTTGGCTAGCTTCACACTTTCTATTTCTGAATCAGAAACAAGACATTACTGGAGGAAGGGGAAGCGTTTGCAAGAGAAAACCCTTGAGCTAAGAAGTTCATAGGCTGCTTCACCGTCTACAGGAACAACAGGCCAGAAGTGATTTAAACCAGGAAAAGACTGAAAATAATGCAGCTGGGTAGTTCCCTCCCTTGCAGTGTTTGCTTATAACTATATACATCTCTACTGACATTGCAATGGGAAGTGAAATCCACAGACTGATTTTGGCTGAACTGTTTCCATCCCTTGCGCTGTTCATTGCTCACAGCAACACGGCACAGGAGTCCTGGGGTGGAAAAAAACATGCTGACCTTGCATGGAATTAGGAGAGAAAAACAAGAGGGGAAGGGACAAACCAAATACAGTCAGCTCCACATGTGGTGTTAAACACTGACAGCCCCATCTCTGCTTTGCTGTTGGGACAAAACAATGGTCTCCTAGCACAGGCAGAAAAGATGGACTTAATTTCAGTTGTTTACTTAGTCTGGAGCAAGTCAAGGTCTCACCTTCATGACTCATGGTGGAGCTCAAGCAGTCTGATGCTGGATAAACTGGGCCCTTAGAAAAGCACTGCACCAAGTGGCAGACACAGAGGCAGCTGGCTTTTCCTTGAGACCATGTTTACCCGTTTCCCTGCAGCAGCTCTGAGCAAGGCTGTGGGCACAAAAGGCTCTACAAATGTTACAGCAGTCTCCCTTCTCGGCCATGGGAGGTGAGCATTGAAAGCCGCAGTCTTCTGCCTCAGTCCTCAAGGCTCCCTGGTGTAGAAATAGGTCCCACAGCTGCCCAAGCCTTACAGAGCCAGCAGCCTCAAGGGCGAGACCCAGCAGAACATGTTCTCCAGGACAGCCCGCAAAAGCCCAGCACTGCTACAAGCCTCCAGCTGAGCTCCGAGATGCCCCAACCTGTCCCAGAAGTCCCTTGACAATGCCACCAGAAACAGCTAGAGCTCAGCAGGATCCAGGAGCTCCTCTTCCTTCTGCCAGGTGATCACTGGGCCTGGAAACTTGCTGCATTGCCTTGACACCTGCAAGGGGCACCAGTTCTGCGGGGTACATGATGGAGGACTCCACCTCCTCCATGTGCACCCAGTGGAGGCCACAGTGGAAGAGCAGGCTTCTGCTTATTGCCTTGGACAATAAGCATATTGCAAGGACGAGCCTCAGCGCTGAGCTAGAAACTCCTTGTTTGGACACGACGGAGCACAGTACCAGCAGCGATGGTGCCAAGCTGGTGACACAGGGATGCGAACAGCTTCCAACGCAGCATGGCTATAGAAGCAGAACTAAATTGCACAAGTATTTTTGGTGGGAACATGAAAGGAGCCAGTCCCATTCTACAGACCGCATGCAAGATGCCACCTGCAATTCTGGGTCTAATGCTGCTGCCCACATTCAAGAAAGCAGAACTCAAATTCACTGGCTAGCTGCTGGCTCCTTTAATATCTTAATGTCTTGTTTGCTCCCCCACTCAGCTGAGTCAAAGAGCAACAGTTTTTCATGAACTGCAATTTTGCTGTACATGGATGTTTGTGACAACTCTGGATTGTAAACGCTTCTCCTCACAACAATCCCTGCCAAGAACACAGCTTTCTGTTCTGCATCACTTCTTTTTTTGGTCTGGCTTTATGAAGCTGACTAGTTCAGTGCTTTCATAAACAGTATGTGCTCAAAATTTTCAGACACCTGATTCTGCGCAAACATCCCAAATTCTTTTCCTATGAAGTCTTGTTCGTCTGAGGAGCCATGCGATATATGTATTTTTAAATGTGCATACTTCTAATGTCTGAAGCATTACATAACTTTTTTCCCTCTCTAGTCTCTCCTGAGATGATTTACTGGAATGGAAGAAATCTCCAAGTTTTCAATTTGCAGTACTGGGCTGAACTTTAGTTCCCAGGGTCTTGGCATCCAGTGTCACAAAAGCAGCCCTAGGACAAGAAGAAACAACCAACTCTTGGGAAGATTTAGGAAAACAGAGATGTAATGGTAACAACTTCAGCAGTCCAAGCTGGGTTCTCTTTTGGGGGGCACAGACTGCAAAACCCACAAAGAATTGGCAGAGTTATCTGCATCAGATAAAAATCAATGCATTTCAGTTGACTGCAGCTCTTTAAGGTCACAACATTAGAATGCCAACTTTCATTTAAAAATCTCCATCTCTGGAAATACCAGTTCATTTTGCTCCATCAGCTAATAATAATAATATCAGTTTCTTTATTGATGGTTATATAGGCTCTTTCCAGCTATTCCATTTTTCTCAATAACAAGCTGTACACCTGGTACTAACAGTTGCTGACTTTTCTTACAGAAATCCCCAGGTACTTGCTACCCTTAGCAAAGCATTTGCTAGTGAATGCTGGTATTTGCCAACTGGCCACAAGTTTAGTAGGGGAGTCAAGAGAGCCAGCAATTTAGGTACTTCTGTATCTATAAAGCACTTCTAATACCTAGTATCTTCTAAGACAGAGATAATTTGGCCTGAAGTTTTCTATCTTGGTGTTCTCCTCAAAGCAAAGCCTCTGCATTTCATTTGTATTCCCTCAGCTTAGTAATTTCAGAGCCAAGAGAGGAGGAAAGAGGCCACGGCAGGGCCAAAATAACATACGTGATCTCGAGAAAGTCTGATGCTACAAAGGCATATATGCAGGAGGGTAGGATTAAAAGAGCATAGGGATGCTGCTCTTGGGTTTTTCCAAAGTGGCTGACTTTGACTATGGGAGGAGTGCTGTCACCTAACTGCAGGAGCATGCCCTCTGTTTCTTGCAGAAGACACGAGTCCCATGTGCCCCTTTTACTGTGGATTCTGTCATAAAATGCTTCTGAGGACATTCCTTCCTCCACAGCACCTGGTACCAGTCCTGATACCAGGGGAGGGAAAGCTCAGCTGTGCTCCAGCAGTCCCCTCCTCTGTTCCCACAATAGTAGCAGACAAGAAGAGACCTTTAGGAGCACCGAAATTGCAGCTGGCAGGCCAGACATTAGGACTAGCACAGCTGTCTATGCTTTGTGCCCAACAGGGACACCGACGGTTGCAGATGTCAAAGGCATTTGGAAGTTGTTGGTTGGTGACAGGGAGGAGGTTTCCTTCACACTCATGGTGTTCAATTATCAGGTTTTTATGTAAGAGGAGGCAGACACCTTCACTGCGACTGGTGAAATCACAGGTTGACGGACTTGAGCTCATGAGCAGAGAGCATATGGTGTGGCAGAAAGCCACATCCCTCAGCCCCAAACACAGTCTGTCAGCAACTCTCTTGGGCAGGAAGGTGCTAAGGGAAAAGCCTGTCCCAAGAACAGCTGCAGGTGGCAAGAGGAATCCCTCTGCTACACTGGGTAGCACAGCATCATCTCTTACTGTGCCAAGATACTTGAAGCAAAAATACAGACACTCCCCACAGGAAACAGAAGCATTTCTGACATGGGCTGGTTTTGTTTGGCTTGTATTTCACAGCCTCAAGAAAGGCCAGACTGATAAGTGGGTTCACTGACCTGTGACACCTGGGAAAGAGCAGTAACACAACCAGCAGTGTCCAGAGACCTCCCTTACCGAAGGCCAGGAGAGCCCACTGCAGGCTTTCACCACAGAGCCTTGGGATTAGCTGGTGGCTGCATGGGGCTCAGCTCCAGGCTGTCCTACCGTCCCCACAGCTCCTCAGGGAGGAAGAGTTCCACTGTACAGCTAGTCGTATCTGCACCAGAGCTTTAGAAGATAGAGAAACATGCTAAACCTACATGGGCAGTGTCCTATCTGGATAAATAAAGGTTTTATGTAGTCACTTATATTACACGTGGAGGAAGATCAAAAGTAGGTTTGGGCAACGACTCAAATCTCGGTGCTAAACATGGAGAAACAATACCTGGGACTTTTACCCTGTGGGCTGGGGAGCAGATGTGAAGGTTTCTGAGAAGCATTCAGCCTCCCCTGGCACTGCCCAACATGGCCACCCACACCCCATGTACAGAGAGATCCAACAGAGCCATGCTCTGTGATGCCCAGGGTACCACTGTGTTTCAGAGAAGTACTTACTCTGTAGCCATCGTTCTTTCCTCAGCTTCATTTTTTCTTTTTTGGAAAGAACTGTTTTTCCTTCTAGACCTAGAGGAAAAGAGAGACATTGAGATGGAGCCTGGCTCCTGCACACAGATTCAGTGGTAGACACCTCCCAAAGATAGCAGAGTCAACCTTTGTTCAACCTTTGATGATTTTGAACTTGCTGGCAGGTTGGGCAGGCTGCAGGCAGACTGGGGGCTACACCACACTTTTAGCTGAACAAATCAAACTCGGTTCGCTGCTGGTTAAGAAATAAGAAACGGGCAAGTAGACCAGATCATCAGCACCATAGGCCCTGTTTTCTCAGGCCAGGTAGCTCTTTGAGAAAAGCTTTTGGAGAGACCCTTGCCCTGAGTCCTGCACTCCTGCATGAACCTGGCTTGGGAGCTGGCATTTTCTTCTGAAGACTAGCTGCAAGTGATGGGAGGACCTACAGGTTCCAGAACTGAGAGCAAAAAGCAAGTTTTAATCTGAAAATATGCAGGCTGATAAAGCTAAGAAGAAGGAGAACACGGGCTGCAGACAGGTGTGAGAGTAGGAGGGTGAATGGCAACCCGACATGGCTATCGGCATCTGCCAGCCCAAGCAACGCCCTCAATGCCTGCCCAGACAGCACGTGGCAGGCAGGGGTCTGGAGAGGGTCTGAAATACCCAGATCCGTGGCAGCCCTAAGGAGCAGCCAATTACTAACAGCTTGTAAAAAAGGCTAGTACCTACTATATACCAAATTCAGTATTTGGAAACCAGCTGTTGATCACTGATATCCAATACTAAGTAAAATAACATCACAAATATTTTTACTGCAGATCCGTTGCAGATGCTATAAAATTTTATCTTATCTTTGGTGTTTAAAACAAAATTGACTTCAGTCAACTTTTCTCCTGAAATGTGCTGGGAATCCTGCTACAGGAAT